CTGTAATTAATGAAATTAATCCTTACCTAATTTTATGATCATGATTTTGTTGCAAAAGGAGCCTTACCTTTGCCTAAACTAAAGTCAACAAGGCTAAAAAGTTTACACTAAAAAATCTAGATCACTTTCTTTTATCTATTTGACTTTATTATGGTATAGTTTCTGGAGTTTTATGGTCTATACCAAATTCAAAAGACTCTAGGAAAGTTTCCTTATGGAGAATGTCACTTCTTAACCGTTTCAAGACTTGACTCCCACTCCTCTAATCCGTCCAAATGGGAGATCAATGAACCGTGGCCGCTAGGCAAACAGTTTCACGCAATTTGCACACAGAATGTTACTTTAAATTCTGACCAAGAGGATGAATATGGCCAAGGAAAAAGAATGGGCAATAAAGGACAATATAATGAACAATAAAGGACAATATAATGAACAATAAAGGATAATATAGTGAACAATAAAGGTATCAATATCAAAAATTATACTAGACAACTACAAAGATCTGAAATGATATTCGTAAAGGAAATTGGTTAGTTAGTATACTGGCTATTCTAAACGTAAAAACTCGTTTTCCTAACCAAAACAGAACATCATGAACAATGGGATTTAGCTGGCTAAGAGCAGATTCTAGATTCTAGGACCTAGGATTCTAGGATTCCAGGACCAAAAAGGATTCTAGCTGGCTCCAAATCAAGATAGAGAACGGACAAGTAGAGAAAAGTAAGAAAAAAAGATCAAGGGTTCAAGTAGAAAACAGACAAAATGAAAGGAAATCTATTTTTCGGTGAACAAGGTCATGCAAGAAAGGGAGCGATTGGCTGAGATAATCGGCGGTTGAGGAGAGAAATCGGCCCTGAATCAAGGAGGGGAATGAGAGATGAGGGAAAAGTGACTCATGCCAGTAACACTTCGGTATTTCTCTCTCTTCCTTGACTTACTAGAACAGTGTTCTTGCAAGGACACCAGTTGGCTATGGGAAGAATGGCTATGGCTATGGGAAGAACGCTTCCGGTGAATATGCTAAATCCAATCAGGCTCAATTGGCTCATTATGTATCCTTGAAAAAGCCAAAGTAATCGTTTTCTGTGAAACCAATAAGGTTGATGGTTGATGTTGCTATTAAAGATGCTAAAAAGTGCTAAAAACGAATCTATACTATCAAAAACTCAAAAACTTCATTTTGATGCCACCAGCGAGTGAATTTTCCTTGTAATTCAAAAGTTCTGAAGTATTCATTCAAATTGCAAAGCCAGTAACACTTTGGTATTTCTTGAAATCTCGATTAGTCTGGTTATATATATCTTTAGGTAGTAAGAATTAGAAATTCCTATTTCTTACAAAGAAAGCTAAGAAAATGAATTTCAGGATTGGATTAAAGGGGAATGTATTGAAACAAATTGTCAGACTCATCTTCATCTTCTCACACTCATCTTCATCTTCTCAGACTCATCTTCATCTTCTCAGATTCATCTTCATCTTGTCAGACTCATCTTCATCTTCTCAGACTCATCTTCATCTTGTCAGACTCATCTTCATCTTCTCAGATTCATCTTCATCTTCTCATCTTCATCTTCATCTTCTCAGACTCATCTTCATCTTGCCAATCAACCGCAACGGACGACCGCGAAGACGTTGGATACGTTGGAGACGGTTTTGATTTTGAGTGCAGAATCAAAGTAATCTAAATTTGATATTGCTTGTCTTTTCTAGCACATCTACTACGAAGATTGAGGACGAATCAAGCTATATCGTTATCGATGGTTTGAGCGATTTCGAAATGGAAACGAGAGCCTAGAAGATTAGCATCACGAAGGACATCCCCGAAAGCTGGATGAGTCTCAACTTTTGCAAATTATCGAAGAAGATCCCAGTTGCAACACTCGGGAGTTGTCGGAAATGTTCAATGTTTATCATAGCACCATTGAAGAGCATTTAAATTTGATTGAAAAGCGAAACAGATGCGGAAAATGGGTTCCACATGAGCTGACCCTCAATCAGAAAATTGTTCAATATGAACACTTGTTCAATTTTGATTCAAAAATCAAAAGCGCATGATTTTTGGAAATTAATTGATACTTCTGATGAAACGTGGATATTATATGATAACGTTAAGCGCAAGCGCCAATGGCTATCACCAAAGCAAGCCCCGGTTGTCACGTGAAAAGCTGATCTGCATGGAAAGAAGTTGATGTTGTGCGTATGGTGGAACTATCGTGGATTGGTTTATTTTGAATTGCTCAAACCGGGTAAAACTGTCACATCTGAACTTTACAGTGAGCAGTTAGAGCGTGTGAATCAAGCTCCCACATGAACTGACCCTCTATCAGAAAATTGCCCGTATGAACACTTGTTCAATTTTGATTCAAAAATCAAAAGCGCATGATTTTTGGAAATTAATTGATACTTCTGATGAAACGTGGATATTATATGATAACGTTAGCGCAAGCGCCAATGGCTATCACCAAAGCAAGCCCCGGTTGTCACGTGAAAAGCTGATCTGCATGGAAAGAAGTTGATGTTGTGCGTATGGTGGAACTATCGTGGATTGGTTTATTTTGAATTGCTCAAACCGGGTAAAACTGTCACATCTGAACTTTACAGTGAGCAGTTAGAGCGTGTGAATCAAGCTCCCACATGAACTGACCCTCTATCAGAAAATTGCCCGTATGAACACTTGTTCATTTTGATTCAAAAATCAAAAGCGCATGATTTTTGGAAATTAATTGATACTTCTGATGAAACGTGGATATTATATGATAACGTTAAGCGCAAGCGCCAATGGCTATCACCAAAGCAAGCCCCGGTTGTCACGTGAAAAGCTGATCTGCATGGAAAGAAGTTGATGTTGTGCGTATGGTGGAACTATCGTGGATTGGTTTATTTTGAATTGCTCAAACCGGGTAAAACTGTCACATCTGAACTTTACAGTGAGCAGTTAGAGCGTGTGAATCAAGCTCCCACATGAACTGACCCTCTATCAGAAAATTGCCCGTATGAACACTTGTTCAATTTTGATTCAAAAATCAAAAGCGCATGATTTTTGGAAATTAATTGATACTTCTGATGAAACGTGGATATTATATGATAACGTTAAGCGCAAGCGCCAATGGCTATCACCAAAGCAAGCCCCGGTTGTCACGTGAAAAGCTGATCTGCATGGAAAGAAGTTGATGTTGTGCGTATGGTGGAACTATCGTGGATTGGTTTATTTTGAATTGCTCAAACCGGGTAAAACTGTCACATCTGAACTTTACAGTGAGCAGTTAGAGCGTGTGAATCAAGCTCCCACATGAACTGACCCTCTATCAGAAAATTGCCCGTATGAACACTTGTTCAATTTTGATTCAAAAATCAAAAGCGCATGATTTTTGGAAATTAATTGTTACTTCTGATGAAACGTGGATATTATATGCTAACGTTAAGCGCAAGCAGCTCAAACCAAACGTTTCGCTTTCAATCAATCACTCCAATAAAGTTTTCTCTATTTTCTTATGGTTTATTTTAAAGTTTTGCACAATCGGATCCAACAAAAACAGTCAAAACAGTCTTTTGTTTCCAAGAAAGTCGTCAACCTCAATACGGTAAGCGAATCAAAGTCTAAAATCTCACTAAAATAAAAATCTTCTTAATGCTTTGTAATGCAATCACCCTCTGGCAGAGAAATTATCTAAAATTTTGTGTTTTTTCAAACATCTGTTTTTTTTACTGTGTTAGTTGATCAATTTTATTCAATTTCATTCAATTTCATTCAACTTAACAACTTTAATCGAGCTTTTTTCATGTCTTTTGTTTCCAAGAAAGTCGTCAACCTCAATACGGTAAGTGTTTTTGCAATTTTAAAGCTTTTAAAGCTATAAATGTAAATGTAAGCCATGCTAGAAGCTAGAAATAAACTGTAATTAGATCTACAGCGTACACAAAGCATCAGTTATTACATAACGAACCATTTTTGCTTATTATTTATTCAAAACCAGTCGAAAAACCCGGCTAACGGTGGGTTTTTGTGGATGAAAGTTTTGAAACGCGACTGGTGACGCCGTGGCGATTGGTGACGCCGAAAAACCAGCCGGGGAACGCGCTTCTCTACGGCCCACAAGGTCCGAGTTCGACCCCCCGTAGTGCCACTTAATTTTAAATTTTAAATTTTTTTATTTTAAATGACATAACTATATTATATTCTAAGAGTTTTTAAGAAATTTCGAGTTTTTTGGCCTAAAGGCGGCTGAGAACAGACAGAAGGAAAACACTGCTCTTTTATATGTTACGTCCGTTATTGAATTTCGTCCGATTCAGAACCGAACGTCCGTTTTTGAATCCTCCAACCTATATTTCAAAAATTTCCAAATAATAAATCCTCAAAAATAACGCGTTTTTCTTTTGGTCATTCTTCATTTTAATCGTTTTTCTTTTGATCTTTTGATCAAAATCAAAAAAAAAAGATCGAAAATCAAATCGTTCATCATCAAACTTCAAAATCTATTGATAAAAAACGATCGAAAATGTAAATGATCACAAAACAAACATAACAAGTACAACTTATAATAACTTAAATAAAGAAAAAATAAAATAGAAACGCGAAACGCGCAAGTTAGTTAGGATTTAAATTATGAATTTATATATACCGTATTTTCTCTAATAGTAGTGCACCCAGGCGAGCCGAGTTGGTGACGATTTTACGGTTTCCAAGCTTTTGCAGAAGCTCAACACTCTAATCCCCCACTAGATCTCATCGTCAGCTACATTTTCCGACCCCACATCGCTAGGTTCTGATAAGCGGTTCTCGAGATTTCGAGGAATTTAGGCAAAGCTTTGGGTGCACTACTATTAGAGAAAATATGGTAGTACATTTTAGAGTGAAGCTCCAAAGCGCCCTCGTAGCCCGTACAAGCTTAATGCCGAGTGCAAGGTCAGTCAAATTTCGGAACTTCAGCTCAATCAAGACATTTGCTTTTCAAGACAAGAAAAGACAAGTCAAATTAAAACTTACTTAGCTCTGCAAAATGGGCATAAATTGGACGGTGGGGCAAGCCGGTCGGTTGGTCGATCACGCGATCAAGCACACCGACATTCAGCTCTACAAGTGTTCCAGTGAGCCTAAATAACTGTTAATTTCAATTGATTAGTTCAAAATTTTCGTTTTTAGACTGCAAAAATTCTTTCCAAGTGAAATCCGCGGCACGCTCGCACATTAGGCGAGTTTGTAAATCTGAAGGTCGAGTCATCGATTCCATGTGAGTAACATTTTGCAGAACTGCAGAAGAACTGCAGAAGAGCGAATGGCATAGAACTGGGCTTTTACTGGGCTTCCAAAATATAGAAAACCATATTACGATGCTTCCAAAATATAGAAAGCTATATTACTATGCTTCCAAAATATAGAAAGCCATACTAGGATGCTGCCGAAATATAGAAAACCATATTACTATGCTTCCAAAATATAGAAAACCATAGTACGATGCTGCCAAAATATAGAAAACCATAGTACGATGCTTCCAAGATTTAGAAAATCATATTATTATGCTTCCAAAATATAGAAAACCATAGTACGATGCTTCCAAGATTTAGAAAATCATATTATTATGCTTCCAAAATATAGAAAACCATAGTACGATGCTTCCAAAATATAGAAAACTATATTACTCTCCTTCCAAGATATAGAAAACCATATTACTATGCTTCCAAAATATAGAAAGCCATACTAGGATGCTGCCGAAATATAGAAAACCATATTACTATGCTTCCAAAATATAGAAAACCATAGTACGATGCTGCCAAAATATAGAAAACAACTAATTCACGAAAACTACAGCACAAGACCTAACTTTATTTTAGAGTTGAATCAGCTGAACCTAGACTTAAGCCTGGTTCAGCTGATTCCTGGTTGCTTATGTTCCAGATTCATTTTACAGAAGCTGTTGACTTTCAGATCATTTCGCTAATGTTACAATAGGCCTTTGACTTACAACAACCTCATATTTCCAAAAACTATTCTATTTTTAGATCTAAAGAAGCTTTGGAGAAACTTCTAGAAATCTCGACTCGCTCTTTTCCCGATTTTTCTGGCCCACTCGAGTCTTGGCGGCAGAAAGAAGTTGATAAAGTGGGTCAATCACTTTTCATCTTGACAATTTTTACTTTAGCTTGAAAAGAGACAAAACGAGGCTCGTCGAAAGGTGATTTCATCAATAAGAAATAAAATTCCGCTTTAGAAACAGCTCGTCCTCAGTGCAAGACTAGATGAAACCTCGGAGAGCTCTTCTGAATCGGGTGATAATGCTGATGGAATGCATTTGGATGAAGCGGTTGAAGAAAAAGTGATTGGTTTTAATCTCAAATTTTAATATATCAACTTTTAATATCAACAATTCAATGTATTCAATATAGCAAATGAAAAAATCCTAGATTGGATTTAATTATTGGGTTGGTGAATTGAAAACTTCCGGCTATTGTCATATGTGACAGTTCGAGCACTTTCTTCAAAAGAAACCCATTTTGGTGTCAATAGAAGAGTTGTAGAGAATCAAAAATGAAGCTTGTATCCAAATTTTCAGAACGATTCAAAAACTGGTTTTCCAAGAAATGCCAAATTTACGAATTTTCACAAAACTTGCATTTTAAGCGAAACTACTAAGTGTATCTTTTTGGAAAATTTGGCTATAAGCCTAATTTTTGATTCTCTACAACTTTTCTATTGACACCAAAATGGGTTTCTTTTGAAGAAAGTGCTCAAACTGGGCTGACAGCTGACATCTCCAGTCCTCCATTTTTGAGTCTCACACTTGTCTCACACACAAACCAAAATCCTACTACGAAAGAGGAATCCGCAAATTGCCTATAAAATGGGCAGAAGTCATCAATAATAATGGAAATTGTTTAGAATGAATTGATGGTTTTATGTTGAATAAATTTTAGTTCAAAGTCCCGCAGTTTTCAATTCACCAACCCAATGGATTTTCAGGATTTGGAAACTAATGCCGGAGATGAAGGCTTTAAAGACAAAGATCTTCACCAAATGCTCAACTTCATCGAGCATCGAAACACGATTCATAATGACTTTCAGGAGGTTTAATTCAATTTTGAATCTTGTTTGATAAAAAATTTAGGAAGATTTGAAACTCTCGACTGAATACTTTACGCTTCGACACGAACTGGTGGAAAAGGAATTAAAGCTGGTGGATTGTCAACAGAATTGGGAATCGATTGCGAAAGAGGTTTGACATTATTAAGAAGAACTAAATGGTAATAGTAAGTTTAAAATAATACCTTTTTTCATTTCAAATCTGGGATTTATGGGTATGACTTGTCGCCAACTTTCAAACTATAATAACTATTAGGTTGATGCATAAGTCTTTTCGTTTTTTTCGTACTTCTGTTAAAAAGTAACAAATTCACCAATTAATCTATAGTTTGCTCTATAAAAAAAGTGTTTTTTTGGTTCAATTTGCATCTTTTTAAATCAATTTCGGTTCACTTTCAAGCAAATTCGAGGGTGAAAAACGCCTTTTTCGTAAAAATCTATAAAAAACTCTACGGAAAAATTGGCTGAATGAATTTCTCTGAAATTTTGGCGAAATATCAAACTTTTTTTTCTCTATCTTTTATCTATTGACACGAAGATAGGTTTTCTTTAGCTAAGGTGTCTAAACCGCATCATCGAGTTAGCCCTTTTTGACTACCCGACTTCATACTCTCAAGAAAATCCAGGCATAAAATATTTTTAAACCCGTTTTAATGTTATTTTGCAGAAAAATAATTGGTTTTTCTAATGAAATCAACCGTAGTTTAATTGGTGCATTTGTTGGCTTGAAACGGCAGACGAAAAGGAACAAAAAGACTTATGCATCAACCTAATATAATAACTGAACAATGCACGCACTAGAAGGAGTGTGTTTTCAATTCTAGAGCGCAGAAAACGTTTAGAAGTCGCGTTGCGTTGCTTTTTAGTTGCGAGAACTGAACGAAATTGAATCAGAATCCAAATAGCAAGCAAACTTGTTGACTTGACTTGTTACTTCAACGCAAAGCTCAGCCAAAAAAAGCTCACTTTATAAAGTTATTGAAAGAAAACTTGTCAAACCAAATTACAACCAAAAACGTCCTTGTTTTGAGTTTTTGACGTAGAAATACCTACCGTAAATATTGTAATAGTACCCCACCCCTCTCGTACAGTCGCGTAGTCGCAAAAGGTTTTTAGTATTTCACTTTTTTCAAAGCACCCGTACCTTCAAAAAATGCGTCTTTGGTATTAAAAAATAGCCCTGAATTTCAGCTATTTTTTGATACCTAAGCGCGCATTGTAGCATAAACCAGTGTCAAGAAAAACTCGTTCAAGGCTAGACTACGCAACACTTCGCACCGTCATTATGGGGGTGGGGTCCAATTACAGTATTTACGGTATGCTTTTTTTATAATAAAGATCTATCTTTTCTCTACGACTCGACGACGACGATTTAAGCACTTTAATCCACAGAAACCTATATTGATGTCAATAGAAAAAAGATAGAGTACAAAAAGTTAGGTGCAAAGCGAAATTGTCAGAGAAATTCATTCAGCCAATTTCTTCGTAGAGGTTTATGGAATATTTGATACGCCCTGCGCCCTGCGCCTTTTGTCATTGGCAATCTAACTTTGAGTTCGAATATTTTGATGCTGGGCTGTTTAATTTAAGTAGTTTTTGTATCAATCGAAAGAGAAAGACTCGGCACATCCAATGATATCAAGAATATGTAAATTGGACAGCCCAAAGCCAAGATATTTGGGCTCAAAGTTAGATTGTCAATGACAAAAGAAGCGGAGTTGAGGGACCTTTTATATGCGCCCTGCGCCTTTTGCCATTGGCAATCTAACTTTGAGTTCAAATATTTTGATGCTGGGCTGTTTAATTTAAAATTCTTGGCATCATTGGATGCGCCAAGTCTTTCTCTGTCGATTGATGCACAAGCTATTATACGGGAAACGCTTTATCTACCGATTGTGGGTGATTTGATACGCGCCCCGCCCATTTTGCCATTGGCAATCCTACTTTGAACTCATATATCTTTCAAATATCTTGGGTGCAAAGCCAAATTTCCAGAAAAATCTTTTCAGCCAGTTTCTTTGTAAAACTTTTTAGCAAATTTTTTCGAAAAAACTAATTTTTGCGCTCAAATTTACTTGGAAAAGGAACTAAATTATCTAAAAAAGATAGAAAAATGAATAAACAACATTGCTTTTACTTGAAAAGCGATCTAAATCTAATCTAAAGATCTAGATCGACTTGAAATGATTAAAAAAAGTGAATGCTAAACAACTACTATTCGGAGAAAACCATAGATCAATTGGTGACAATTGGTGACGATTGTCAATCGTCGACATTGATTCAACCAAATCGTCACCAATTGTCACCAATTGATCTACCGTTTTCTCCGAAAAGTAGACGTTTAGCAATAGGCACAAAAAGTGGTCAAGATTTGTTCACAAAGTTAATAATCTAGATGATCAAAAGCTTGAAATCGACACAAGAAAAGGCTGAACAATTGCCAACAAAGAAGCGCTACGAAGAAACAATTGATGCAGCGAAAAGAGCTTTCAATGAAGTGAGTGATGTGCTTAAAATGTAATCTCAATGTCTGAGCACTCAATTTTTACCGTTTTTATGGAAGATTATTTGTTCCAGGCCTTCTGTGACTACGAAACAACTAAAGATCGACTCTCTGATGTGATGAAGAAGGTAAATAGAGGCTAGTTTACTATAAAGAAGTGAAGGATTTGGCAAGAAAAAGTAGATTCCTGGAGAGGGGATTGAACCCTCGATCTTTCTTGCTTTCTTGCTCTTTTGCTTTCCGGGAAATTGCTCTAATCAATTAACTATCCGGTACCTTGATTAGCGAAGAGAAAGAGGGAAGACAAGGGGAAAGAAGAAAGGAAGAAGAAAGGAAGAAGAAAGGAAGAAGAAAGGAAGAAGAAAGGGAGAAGAAAGGGAGAAGAAAGGAGGAAGAAAGGAGGAAGAAAGGGAGAAGAAAGGGAGAAGAATATGATAATGCTCTTTTGCTTTCCGGAAAATTGCTCTAACTACTGAACTATCCGGTACCTTGATTAGCGAAGAGAAAGAGGGAAGGCAAGGGGGAAGAAGAAAGGATTCTTACTGATTCAAATTTTAGCGAACCAACTTGAGGACTCAGCTTGTCGGTTTATTAAACGCTCATCGGCTCGAGTTTGAGAAAAATGATGAAGAGTGAAACAGAGCAAACTTTTAATCAGTTGTTAACTTTAGTTCTTTGTTGTTCTCTTATAATTGTAATTATCTCTTATAATTTATTTCCTTTAAATTTTTGATGACTTTTGAGCAATTATTAGACTCGATTCCCTTGTAAATTTATTGACCTTGTGATAAATCTTTCGGTAAAGTTTACGAAAAAACACATCAATGTAGAATACCGTATCCTCTCTAATAGTAGTGCTCTAACTCTAGCTACTATTTTTTTCAACCCCCTCCTGGAACACAATACTATTAGAGAGTGCACTACCATTAAAGAGTTTTATCATTTACCAAAGTAAGACAGATATAAGATTTGAAAATTCTTGCAATTCTTTCACGTACTCCTTTGGCTCCTTTTGACACGTACTCCTTTGGCTCCCGGTCCCTTTACGAGCTTAAGCCAACTAAAAAAGTTCATGTACGAGTTTGTCGCTGACCAGTTTCTCCTAAGAACCTCAATTCCTTAAAAGAGTTCATAAATTTCCGGTTTCAATATGAAAAAGAATATAACTTTCCCTTCTTTTCCCCATCCAGATGGGTCTCCTTTTCACTCATAAAGAAGTTGACAATAGCCTAATTGGTCAACGAGACTTGGAAAGGATGGATCTCGAGAAGGGTTAGGAAAGAAAGGAAAAGAAAAGCAAAGAAAAGAAAAGGAAAGAAAAGAAGAGAAAAGAAAAGAAATAGAAATTCAGAGAAAATTGACTTTCTTGGATTGAATAGGAGTGAAACCAACCACACCGGTCTTCCCCTTCACATCCGGAACGAAGTTTCAGACTGTTGCCCATTCAGAGATCATCGTACTTTTGGTTTTAGTCATTTTTACTTTTATCATTTGATTTGTTGATCTGTTCGGTGAAATTTTATCTATCTCTAGATATCTTTATCTTCTTTCTATCTATCTTTGTCTTCTTCATCTTTATCTTCTTCTTCTTTAACTTTTGATTAGTTGCTTGGTATCGATAGCGACATGAATAATGTAGGGCCATGCTTTTCGGACTGATTTTTTTGATTCTATAACATGAGAGCTTGAATTGTCTGGTTTTGGACAACTTCTTTTAGTTTCTTTTGACCACATTTACTTTCTCTTATACTTTGATAGTTTTCTGATATAATTTAAATCTTTCAAGTCTTGCACCAAGTCTTGCATCAAGTTTTTGCTGCCTTTGAAGCTTGGTCTTTTGAACGAATTTGCTGATCACCGTTTCTCCTTGTTAAAAAATGCACTCTCAGAAAAATTAACGTAGCCTTGCTTTTCCTGTAGAGGTACTGTAAGCATTGTTTAAAATATCCATTATTTTATTTGATACCCCGAGCTAGGAGTGTTTTTATAGTAGTTCTAGCAGTTCCTTTTATTCCTGCTCATATTTCAGTTCCCCGGCCGTCACTCCCAAATCGTTTCCCGATGCCCCGATGCGAGCTGTCCTACAAATCTTTTGCGCACTATCGGTAATTGCTCGAATAGGTGAGTTGGCTAGTTTACTCAAGATAGAAATGAGAAATTAAAAAATAGAAATGAAAGAATTGACAAGGAAAAGTAGATTTCCGGAAACCGGAAATGTACAACGGAAAAACCTAATTATTACTCTTTCAGCTTTGATTTGAATTCTTTTAGCTTTCTTTCAGCTTTCTTTCAGCTTAGTCTAAATAAGATGTGATTCAGGCGACAGTTGCTTATCAAATCCAAATCTTCGCTGCTCGCCCACTCATTACAGCTCGCAATCGAGTCCGTGTAAACAAGCGGATTACTCCGGGTCAACAGTGTACAAAACAGGGCAGTACAACGGTGATCGTCAAAAAAATATCGTAATTCGGATTTTCTAGGCTTTTTGGGTCAAGACGTCTACGCTCGAGCTTATGCGGGCAACGGGAAACAAAAGGATTTCGCCAAGGAGGATCTCGATCTTCGGTGTCACGATGACGAGTCGTGCAAGTAAAACTCATGAAACTTTAAAGGAGATTAAAGAATTGAAATCGTTTGCTATTGAAAGCTCAATCAACGGTAAAATTAATGAAACAAGTGAATTCAATTCTAGATGGCGAAATGAGCCGAAAGACGAGCTTGACTGGGTTGTTGGTGCGGGAAAGATTGATCCTCCGAAATTGGCATTGATCACTGGCTCAAATATTTTTCCAGGTCAAAAAATTGCAATATTATACACCGATTCAATACTTTTACATCTAAATTTCCGTGGGTGGCTACTTTGCGCCAAATTTTTTGCGCAACTGCAACGCGACTCATTTGCGCAACTAGGTCTTTTGCGTAACTCGCCATAACCTTCTTCTAAGTCAGCCAATCTTTATGAATTTGGTGTCATTTTGTAGATCTCAATAAGTGCAACAAAATGAAACCAAAATCATAAAGATTGGTCCACTTAGAAGAAAATTATGGCGAGTTGCGCAAACGGCCAAGTTGCGCAAATGAGACGAAAGTTATGACGCAAAGTAGGCACCCCCAAATTCCCTTTTAGATCCTTGGTTTCTAATCCTTGCCTCTGATCCGAGACCAAACCACCAAGGAGGAGCGTTGATTTCACCGCCAATCGGTAAGTAAATCAATGTTCTGTTAAATAAAAATAAAAAACTGACTTAAGTTTGAACTTTTTATGTTTAAGAGTTTATAGTAAAACAAATAAGTAAAAGTAAATTCAATTTCGAGTACGGGTTGACAACTTTCCAACTTCCAACGATTAAATCCTAAGATACACCTAAACTACCGTACTCGAGACCAAGTCCCCCTTTCCCCTTCAAAATTCATTCTTTTAAAGAATCGTTGCCCGGTTCGGCGCTTCGCCATCTCTTCGCCATCTCTTTTGCGCGTGTGTTTTTCCGTTTCTCAATCCCCTTGTCAAATTCTGTTTATTGTTAAAGAGCTTTATTATTATTATTGTTATTGTTTCCCTCATTTTTTTATTGTTTTCACCCCCGTTTCTTTTAAAATTGTTAAAGTTTTAGAGTTTCTGTACTTTTCCCGTTCTTTCCACCTTTTTGGTCTTTGGACCCGTGTCTTTCATGTCACCGATAAAGTTATTAAAATCTAAACATCTTTTTTCTATAAACGCCAGTCAATCCAACCCAGCCGCGAATCATTTTTTTACTCTTTTATATCATTTCATTTTAAATCATTTGAAACTAGTGTTTCTGGGTTAAAAGATTTCGCAGTTTGAGTTTGAGTAAGATTTCGACCCAGAATTCAAATGTTTGGAACCGTAACACGTTACTCTATTTAACAACTACGCTATCATATTATATTTATAGGATGTCAACAATCCTCGGGTCTTCTTTCGTTTCGCTTGTGGAAGAGCCGAAGTCGAGAGAGAATGATTGAGCCAAACCTCGATATTTGCACTCGAAAGTATGGTTTTACAAATTGATGACTCATGAATTGATTAATTTAGAATACCAGAAGAAAATCTGGAAAACTGTTTAATGGTCAACTTGACGAACACCGAAAATCAGACGATCATCGCCTCGATTCCACCACAACTGCAGCCATTTGAGGTCTGTCTTTAAACGTAAATCAAATTTTTGCTTAGCCAGTTTGCTTACAATTAGATTAAGAACTCAAGTTTCTAAAAATTTACTCAAAATCCTACTTTACTTGATTCTAAGCCAAAATTACGATTCCTCGTAACTTGCATTTATTTTAAAGCAAATGTATTAGACTGTCTAGAAAGTCTAGACAAAAGTCTTTTCGTTCCTTTTTGTACTTCCGTTTAAAATAACAAATTCACCAATTGAACTACGGTTTGTTTCATTAGAAAGGTTAATTATTTTTTTGCAAAATAACATTCTGTCGCTACGAATTGAGAAAAATTGTATTCAAGTTACGTCTCCATTTTCTGAATTGTTTCAAGTTAGATCCACACAATTGTGGTAAAGTTTGTTTCCCTTTTGCCTCTTGCTCGTGTGATAAGTGTAGAAGTTGCCCAATTGGCACAAGTTCTGACTCGTCAACTATTTGGCATAAAGGCATTTTTTACACATTCAAAATACAGTTGAGAGAGCAAGGATGACTCAAAACAAAGAAATAGCTGGCTATAATTAGTACTAAGCAGAGAAATATTTCTTACATGATCATTTCGATTCAATATTTTAGATCGTTCTGAGAGGCCACGATTTCTCAAATGAACCCGAAGGAGGCCTGCTAATCATGGATCAAATCGACTACTTTGCACATGTGGACACACCGGAAAATTGCATAGGAAGGCAACTCGACAACGAAAAGGATTATGAAATTGACGCAGTAAAAGAAAAGCTGTTATAAACAATAGTGGGATTTTAGAATGAAACAAACATCCAAGACGATGATGAACTTTTGACGTTCAGTATGGTGAACACATCCACGGTCACTTTACCATCAATTTCTGATCAAAAGCCGGATTGGTGCAGGTGGGAAAAGAAAAGTTTGGACACGGTTAGCAGGTTAGCAGCATTCAAGCTTTACTATTACATATTTAAAATTGTCTCTGGCTTGGCAAGGTTATAACGCAAGCCTAGCCCACCAAAGTACCTCTCCTAGAAGCCAGGCCTGAGCCTGTCTTCCTACCTTAATTGCTTTCTTTTTCCTGAGTTTCGATAAACAAAAATACCCATTTTACTCAAAGAGTGGCTACTCTATTTCTCATTGCATGATCAAAGTTCAAAGGTTTTTCGTTCTCCCCGTATAACTCTACAAGTCTAAATGTTACGTCCGATCTAGAAATCCGTCCGATCTAGAGTGAAGTAAGGCCAAACGTCCGAACCAAACGGCCAAACGTCTAGAATTAAGCGATCACTCTAAAGCTTCACTCTAGATCGGACCTAAAATATAGATGTGTAGGTATATATTGAAAAATGGAAGACCCGGGTTTTTATTAGAATAAATACGGTACTCCCTTGTTTAGATTGGAAGATTGTCAATATATGCTTTTTGTTCGTTTTAATATGATCTACAAAAAAACTTGCACACGCTATTTAAGTTGTTAATCTTGTTTACAAGATTATTGGTGAAGGCATTATCGATTCGAACCCTGGCCGGATCCTGCTAGGTTAGGTCGGGTTGGCTAGCCCTGGAGTTCTGGGATACTTGATACATTTCTAGATTGCTCAGAAAAATTCTGTAACTGCTTCGATCCTTTCGAAAAGCTTCAAATGATAATCTTTAAAAGCTTAAAAACTATTTTAGTGTAATCCCATGCGATTTCGACATGAAACCTCCTTGTGGCTACACGACGATCGGAAGAGGAGCACTTGGTGATGGATATGATAAAGGATGGAAAGTAAGTGCTGGTCTTAGGCTTGCAAGAATACCAAGTACTAGGAATCCAAATTTATTACATAAAGTTAAATCTGACAATCCGAATCCCATTTCTAGATAATCACCGTCCCATCAAATATCGCAAATCGATTGACTGGCATTCATGTTCCACCTGGCTCTAAAGGTTTTACAGAAAAAGTCTTATTCGATATAAAACTTCAAAGGTGATCATATTTCATAAAATTTAGAATCAATCGAACAAGAGAAAGCCGACGAGAATCCATTTTTTGTGGCTGAGTTTCCTGGGTTCAACAGAACGCGCAGAGAGCATAAATTTGTGCTGGAAGCGCCGGAATTTGAGGGGCCGCTTGGGACAAGAGGTTAGATAATTTGCATAAAACTGTTTGCTGAAATGGAAAGATTTGTTAGACTTGATTTGATCTTGATTCTAGCTTGGCTTGGCTTTCAAAAGTACTTGGCTACGCAAGGGATAGAGATCGCCGTTTGTGAGGATATCAATATGAAGGTATGACTTTACTCAAACAGAGAGAAACAACTAAAAATTGAAATTTTATCAAAAACAACTTGTACAGGGTGGCCCACAATCACAGGATGACCAAAAATCAACCTCCTTTTTTTTCTAGACTCATATTTCTGTTATTTGTAGACCAAAAAGGGTAATTTCTTTTTTAAATGAAAATTTACATCATTTTCTGTATATCTTCAGGATTTCATGACCATAGCATTGATAGATTATTTTTTATGTAAGCTCAAAAATGGCTCGCTATTTTTTTGACTAGCCATGTTTGAGCTTTCATAAAAAAATAATCTATCAATGCTATGGTCATGAAATCTTGAACATATACAAAAAACGATGTGAATTTTCATTTAACAAAGAAACTAATCGTTTTGGTTCACAAATAACAGAAATATGAGGCTAGAACGTTTGATTAGGACTGGCTGCCATCCTGTACAGGATGTTCAATATTTACGGCGACTTCTTTCTGGTTGATTCGGTTCCAAGCGCCAAATTCAACCCTAATGTGTTAATTGTTATATAAAATGTTGAAGCCCTTCATCTTGCCTACATTTATCTATTAAAAGTTTCCCGTTTGGAGATATACAACTCATTTTACAAGTTCTCAAATGAGTACTAGTTGATCCCTGTCAGAGTATTCATTCAAGGCCTTGTAAAATGAGTTGTAAATCTCCAATCGGGAAACTTTTAATAGATAAATGTAGGCAAGATGAAGGGCTTCAACATTTCAGATAACACTTAACATATTAGAGTTGAACTTGGCGCTTGAAAACGAATCTACCAAAAAGAAGTCGCCATAAATACTAAATACCATGTAAATGAAACTTTAAAGTTCTGAATCCACAATAACTCAACTCAAAACTTCAGGCTTGTTTCTGGGACAATTTCCTTCAATCAGCCGAGCCTTTTGCCCGCTCATGGACTAATGAAATCGTCGAGTTGCCGGAGAATATCAATAAGGTACGCGCTAATTTCATGTCAGCATGTTTATTGAACTTTCAACTTTTAAAAGGTGTGGTTACAAGAAATCTGAACGTTCAGAGATTGAAATAGGCATTGAAGAAAGCAATGAATTATGGCAATTTACCATGTAGTCAACATTTGATTGTTTCAAAAGCTAATGAGCTTGTGATCGTTTTATTGACTGATTTGATTGGTTAATTTTGAGTTGAAAAATCAGATGGATCATTAAACAGCTTCTATTAGTTTTCTATTAGTTTTCTATTAATTTTCTATTATCTTTTTATAATAGCGTTTAATTAGATTAGAGTTTTTTATCTAAAACTCGCTTTATTGTTGATAAATTTAGATTAAACACGTTATCTCACTGGAATTTTCTGATTTTCATTGTAATAGCCAGTGATGGGAGTGGGACAAATGCGACCTTTTTTTTTGCGTACCCGGACATTTGCGCACCAGACAAAACGGCTAGATCAAATTACAGAAAATTGTCGATCTTTCTCTTTGTATAACTCCGTCCGTTCGTTTCCACAAGCTCTGATATGTCAAAATTTCGATTCTACGCCCTAAAATTCCCTAGAAAAACAAATTTTTGGAATAGAAATTGGTTAATATTAGCTTTTTAGGGCTTTTTTAAAACCCGAAAAAAGGTGCGCTAATGGGCAAGGTGCGCAAATGTCCGGGTGCGCAAAAAAAGGTAGCATTTGTCCCACTCCCCCAGTGATTGCTTTGCTTTTGCTTTCTTATCAATATTTATCAATATTTATCCGATTTTATAATCAAAAATCTTCATATTTCAATAAATGATTTTAGTTTTTCATTGTCGCCACTCAAGATGTATCAATTCGAGCGAATAATGGCCAAGTGGGGATTGCCGGGTTGACTCTCTTCGGGGATCCCGAGGGGAAACGAAAATTCTGCTAATCTCTTCTTTAGATCCATTTTTTAACAATCAAAAGTGTAAAAGCAACTTTTAATTGAAAACAAAATGGCTTTTCTTTTTTTTCATCTCATATTCAGCTCGCACCTTTTTTTTGCTAAGTTTTTCTAATTCTTTAATCAGTTTTCTAAATATTTGATGTTTAATGAAACCTTAAGATAAAGTACCTAGTAATTTTAAAACACATTTGGGTATTGGGTTTGCTTTGTTCACTGATTTTTTCAGTTTTTCAACATTCCATCTAATGTTTCATCATTTGAGCTGCTCCTCTTGGGTAATGAGTTTTCGAAAAGGCATCTAAGCTAAAAACCTATCCTAATAAGCGTAATAAACTTAAAAAGCTAATCAAATAAACTTTATAAACCTAAAAACTACCCTAAGAAGCTTAATAAAACTAAAACCTACCCTAATCAGCTTAATAAACCTACCCTAATAAGCTTAATAAAACTACCCTAAGAAGCTTAATAAACCTACTCTAAGAAACTTAATAAACCTAAAAACAGCTGCCTTTTTATACTCAATTATCTCACTTTTGGTATGATTGAAAGAACTAGGGTTCTGACCTGACTAGTCGGGTTACTTTAAAGGAAAAACAAAAACAAAAAGTTCCATGAGGGACCGAACCCTGATCCTGTCGGCGGTGGACTCAAGCGTTATCCACTAGGCCACCAACGTACCTCTCCTCCGTTAAGAGCCTTTTAAAGCATCCGTTTTGCGCCAAATTTTCGAGTTTTACAAGTTTCCGAGCTTCGCTTTTGAAGCTTTTCGCCGAGTTTCAAAGTCATTTGGCAGATTTTGATTTCGAATTCGAATTCCTTGTACCCGATTCTATAAGCTACACTAGGTGTGAGACTGGTGACAACTTCTAAAAGGATAACGATAACTGTAGGTTTAAAGAGGCAGTACTTCTTGATTAAATGACTAATGTGATCTAGTTAGCTGTAAGCTCTATATAATCTTTAATCCAATCGACCTCCTTGCGAAAAATAGATCAGTCCACTAGCGGCAAGAACGGCGAAAAGCCTCAGAATACCGACATTTAGAAAGAAAGCTCATCTAAAGTTCGTGCCTTTCCCTAGTGAAGCCGGTCAAGTCAAGGCCAAGCCAAACCAAGCTAAAACCAGGCTATAACAGCTCGGCCTCATTGGGCATAACCTGGCTTGGCCAAAGCCAGGTTATGCCCAATATGGCCAAAGCCAGGATTGTCTTAACCATGACTTGACCGGCCTTATGAACTCAAGGTGAGCTTTTGGTCATGGTTTTGCCTTCAAGAAACAATTCTGAAGCAAACTACCGTAACCATGATGCCAGTTTACATTCCATTAACCCAATTTTTGTCTCATTGACCGAGTCTTGTGATTCCTCATCGAATGATACCAAAATTCATTCAAAATTCGGCTAATCAAATGAAACATGCTGTTGATTACGGTAGCTTTTTTTAAAGCAAGTGTCTTTTAGAAAGCACATTAGCTGAGAGAAACTCCATTCATCATTGTGATTGCGATTTGATGATTTTCCATAATTTTCCCATTTTCATAAACATTTCCTTTGCGGGTCTTTCTTTTTTTTTATATGTTTTCTCTTTTCCATCCAATTTCCGCTTTTATTCACTTTGAGCGTCCAATTTTGTAGTCAAAACTTGAGATTTTTCTCAAACATTCATACAATTTCTCTATTTTTCGTGGTTTTTTTTTCTTAATTTTGATTTCTACCTCTTTTCAAATAAAACTTGTTGAATTTGGGGAAACTTTTCGAGTTTTTAAATCTCTTCGCTAAATCTATTCAAAACATTTGCACATTGGGAGATTTTATTGAAAATTTCGGCTTTTAGACTTGCAATTTCAGCTTTGCTATAGAAAAAAAATGTTTAGTATTTATTGGGTTTTCGATATCGAATTTGATAGACACAAACATTTCATCTATCGCATCGATTTTTGTGAGACAAAAATGCTCACACAATTGTCTCTATTACGTCTGCTTTGTCTCTATTACGTTTTTGACATAATAGTAATTGTAAAAAAAATGTAAACTTAAACAAATTCTATTATCTTTTTCTTTTTCCAAACATTTTGGATATGAAAAGATTGAAAAAGCAAAATTTTCACCATGTTAATGTTAATTTTTTTTAATTTTTTTGCGTTTAATATTAGGTTGATGCATAAGTCTTTTTGTTCCTTTTCGTCTGCCGTTTCAAGCCAACAAATGCACCAATTAAACTACGGTTGATTTAAAGCGTTTCCCGTATAATAGTTTTTGCATTGATCGACAGAGAAAGACTTGGCGCATCCAATGATGCCAAGAATTTTAAATTAAACAGCCCAGCATCAAAATATTTGAACTCAAAGTTAGATTGCCAATGGCAAAAGGCGCAGGGCGCAGGGCGTATCAAATATTCCATAAACCTCTCGAAGAAATTGGCTGATGAATTTCTCTGCAATTTCGCTTTGCACCTCTTTTTGTACTCTATCTTTTTCTTTGACATCAATTAGGTTTCTGTGGTTAAAGTGCTTAAATCGTCGTCGTCGGTCGTAGAGAAAAGATAGATCTTTATTATAAAAAAAGCATACCGTAAATACTGTAATTGGACCCCACCCCCAAAATGACGCTGCGGAGTGTTGCGTAGTCTAGCCTTGAACGAGTTTTTCTTGCACTGGTTTTGCTACAATGCGTGCTTAGGTATCAAAAATGCTGAAATTCAGGGCTTTTTTTACCAAAGACGCATTTTTGAAGGTACGGGTGCTTTGAAAAAGTGAAATACTAAAACCTTTTGCGCTACGCGACTGTACGAGAGGGGTGGGGTGCTATTGCAATATTTACGGTAGGTATTTCTACGTCAAAAACTCAAAACAAGGACGTTTTTGGTTGTAATTTGGTTTGACAAGTTTTCTTTCAATAACTTTATAAAGTGAGCTTTGTTTGGCTGAGCTTTGCGTTGAAGTAACAAGTCAAGTCAACAAGTTTGCTTGCTATTTGGATTCTGATTCAATTTCGTTCAGTTCTCGCAACTAAAAACGCAACGCAACGCGACTTCTAAACGTTTTCTGCGCTCTAGAATTGAAAACACACTCCTTCTAGTGCGTGCATTGTTCAGTTATTATATTAGGTTGATGCATAAGTCTTTTTGTTCCTTTTCGTCTGCCGTTTCAAGCCAACAAATGCACCAATTAAACTACGGTTGATTTCATTAGAAAAACCAATTATTTTTCTGCAAAATAACATTAAAACGGGTTTAAAAATATTTAATGCCTGGATTTTCTTGAGAGTATGAAGTCGGGTAGTCAAAAAGGGCTAACTCGATGATGCGGTTTAGACACCTTAGCTAAAGAAAACCTATCTTCGTGTCAATAGATAAAAGATAGAGAAAAAAAAGTTTGATATTTCGCCAAAATTTCAGAGAAATTCATTCAGCCAATTTTTCCGTAGAGTTTTTTATAGATTTTTACGAAAAAGGCGTTTTTCACTCTCGAATTTGCTTGAAAGTTAATCGAAATTGATTTAAAAAGATGCAAATTGAACAAAGAAACACTTTTTTTATAGAGCAAACTATAGATTAATCGGTGAATTTGTTACTTTTTAACAGAAGTACGAAAAAAACGAAAAGACTTATGCATCAACCTATTAATCTAAGCTAATAATCATCAAAATTGCTAATTTATCAAATTTACCGCTCAAAAACATCAAAATTGCTTAAAACAAATGATAAAGAATGCAATTTTTCCCAAGGAATTTTCCCCATTCGAGTCCTCTCGGTTATGGATTTTCGTTCAACTGATCGACTGATCACTTCAGACGAGCACTCTACTTCACTGAACATAATCACCCCTCACAAGTTGTCAGCTCCTTGCTTAACCGAGTTGAGTCTCTGTCGATCATGTCGATCGATGTCGGTCAACAAGTACCGAAAAAATGGATCTAGAAATCTAGAAAATTTTTTGGGGAAAGATTGGTCTCGGGGGTAAACTACGCCTTAGCCGTAACAAGAATGATTCATGGGAAATTAATTAGAGGTTTAATCCTTGTTAAAAACTTTCAACTTAATGTTAAAAGTTTAAGAAAATAAAAAATAAAATAGCAAACTTGATCTTTAAAGCATGTATTGGGTTGGTGTATTGAAAACTGCGGGACTTTGAACTTATTCAAATTTATTCAACATAAAACCATCAATTCATTCCAAATAACTTCCATTATTATTGACGACTTCTGCCCATTTTATAGGCAATTTGCGGATTCCTCTTTCGTAGTAGGATTTTGGTTTTTGTGTGAGACAAGTGTGAGACTCAAAAATCGAGGACTGGAGATGTCAGCTGTCAGCCCAGTTTGAGTACTTTCTTCAAAAGAAACCCATTTTGGTGTCAATGGAAAAGTTGTAGAGAATCAAAAATTAGGCTTATAGCCAAATTTCCAAAAAGATACACTTAGTAGTTTCGCTTGAAATGCAAGTTTTGTGAAAATTCGTAAATTTGGCATTTCTTGGAAACCAGTTTTTGAATCGTTCTGAAAATTTGGATATAAGCTTAATTTTTGATTCTCTACAACTTTTCCATTGACACCAAAATGGGTTTCTTTTGAAGAAAGTGCTCGAACTGTCACATATGACAATAGCCGGAAGTTTTCAATTCAAACTATAAACTATCGTCTTATCCTCGTTACAAAGAAACCAAATGAGCTCTTCTTTCTTTGAAACGATCAAAAAGATTGCTTTTTCCCTTCTTTCCTTCTTTTGTTGTTGTTGATTTAATTCCATAAATCAATGAAAGCAATTCTAGATTTTCGTTGAAGAAAGCAACGAATTAGATTCATTTTTTGAAACTTTTGCAAAATGCGAGTGATTTCTCTTCAGGAATGGCGGGTGAGTGGTTTTTGAGCTAATTTTTATCTTTTTTTTTTTACGTCTTCTTACTTGTTTTCTCGATTATCTTTCGATTTTTGAACTTTATTTCATTCTAGTTTCATTCTTTCAACTTCTAGAAACCCTAAGCAA